CACACACACACACACACACACACATATATATATATATATATATATATATATATATATATATATATATATATATATATGTGTGTGTAATCTTGCTTAATTATTTTTCATTCTTCTAAAATTATTTGGACATACATTATTTCTTCCTTCATGATTTATATTCTCCTTTTTATAGACAGATGAGATAACAAATATCTTTCATGTGTTTAGATGATTGTGTTAATGAAATTTTTTTTTAATTATCACTTTAATATATTTTATTTTCATAGATATAAATGAATGTCTGTTCAGTCCATCTGTATGTGGTCCAAATGCCAACTGCACAAATGAAATTGGAAGTTATAATTGCTCATGTCTGGATGGATTCACTGCAACAACCTCAAGTCTCCCCATCAGCATCAATAACACATGTAGAGGTACATTTTATATTTGTGTTTACTCTAACATTATAACCTTGAATAATTAATTAGAATTTATCTGTTTTTTTCTTTGTATATAAGATATCAAAGATTGAATTGACTGTCGTTTATGTAAAAGTGATCCAAACTGTTCTTTTTCCCATAACTTCCTTTTAATATAGATGTGAATGAATGTGTTGAGATATCAGACATCTGTGGTCCAAACTCAATCTGCAACAACACTGTTGGAAGTCATAATTGCTCGTGCATGAGTGGATATAATGTAACAGACCCAAACCTCTCTATAAACAGCAATAACACATGCAAAGGTATGATTGACAGCTGAAGCAATGAACATTTTGTTACTATTTGTACTGGCTAAATCTTCCTTCAACTGTAACCTTTGAAGTTATGAATAATTTTATTTCAAATATGTATGTGTTTTGATTCACCATCAGTGTGTTGGCCGAACTCTCACCGTTACAATGAAAATGGAAGTTACTTGTGCTGTTATAATTGTAATGAAATGAAATTACTTTTTTTTTTAAATAATCCCTTATTTTAGTATTTTACTTTTTCCATAGATGTAGATGAATGTTTGTTCAGTCCATCCGTATGTGGTCCAGATTCCAACTGCACAAATGAAATGGGAAGTTATAATTGCTCATGTCTGGATGGATTCACTGCAACAAACTCAAGTCTCACCATCAGCATCAATAACACATGTAGAGGTACTGGTGCAATTTGGACTTGTAAATTTAGGCCTAATATACGATTTTTTTATAGACCTGTTTTTCTTTGGGAGGACAGTTTCAAAATCTTAGATTTTCTTGTCTTTTGTGCTAAAAAATATTGATATTGTACTTTGTATTCTCCTTGTATAGATGTAGATGAATTTTGTGAGATTTGTCTTTCATGTTATGTTTTTACATATTTATGTTTGTGTGCACTGAAAAATTAAAACTATTTTTCCCCTCTAGATATAAATGAATGTCTGTTCAGTCCATCTGTATGTGGTCCAGATTCCAACTGCACAAATGAAATGGGAAGTTATAATTGTTCATGTCTGGATGGATTCACTGCAACAAACTCAAGTCTCCCCATCAGCATCAATAACACATGTAGAGGTACGTTTTATATTTAGATTTGTGTTTACTCTAGCTTTGAATAATTAGCTACAGTTTATTCAATTGATTTTTCATTTTTGTAGCATTCTGTTTAAAAGATTAAAACTATTTTTCCCCTCTAGATATAAATGAATGTCTGTTCAGTCCATCTGTATGTGGTCCAGATTCCAACTGCACAAATGAAATTGGAAGTTACAATTGTTCATGTCTGAATGGATTCACTGTAACAAACTCAAGTCTCCTCATCAGCATCAATAACTCATGTAGAGGTACATTTTATATTTAGATTTGTGTTTACTCTAACTTTGAATAATTAGCTACAGTTTATTCAAGTGATTTTTATTTCATTTTTGTAGCATTCTGTATAAAAGATGTCAAAGTATGAGTTGACCTTCACATATGTATGAGTGATCCAAACTCTTCTTTTCCCCGTAACTTCCTTTTAATATAGATGTGAATGAATGTATTGAGATATCAGACGTCTGTGGCCCAAACTCAATCTGCAACAACACTGTTGGGAGTTACAATTGTTCATGCATGAGTGGATATAATGTAACAGACACAAACCTCCCTATAAACAATAATAACCCATGCAAAGGTATGATTGACAGCTGAAGCTCTGAACAGTAACTTTTTATTCGGACTAAATTTTTTGTCAACTGTAACCTGTCCCTTTATAATTTTTTTTTAATTTTTAATTTCAGATATTCATGAATGTCTTGACTCAGTATCAGTGTGTGGACTAAACTCTCACTGTTACAATTACAACGGAAGCTTCTCATGCTTTTGTTGGGAAGGATATAATGTCTCGGATGTAAATAAAGATATTTCTAAAAGTAATCCATGCATCGGTAAGTTTGCTGTATGTTATATTTACTGTTATGATTTTCAGGCATTATTTATTGGAAATTGCTCAAAATGGTGTCATCTTTAGATTGTTGTGTAATTTTACATATGTCTTTATCAATGTTAATAATCATATATATATATATATATATATATATATAAAATCTTGCTTAATTATTTTTCATTCTTCTAAAGTTATTTTGACATACATTATTTCATCCTTCATGATTTATATTCTCCTTTTTATAGACAGATGAGATAACAAATGTCTTTCATGTGTTTAGATGATTGTCTTAATGAAAATTGTTTTTAAATTATCACTTTAATATATTTTATTTTCATAGATATAAATGAATGTCTGTTCAGTCCATCTGTATGTGGTCCAAATGCCAACTGCACAAATGAAATGGGAAGTTATAATTGCTCATGTCTGGATGGATTCACTGCAACAAACTCAAGTCTCTCCATCAGCATCAATAACACATGCAAAGGTACTGTATGCGCAGATCTCTGTTTACTTTAACATTAAATGAAAAACTAGATGTTTTTACACAATATTAGTCCAATCACTTTTATTAAACTAAATAACAGTTGTGTGTTTAATGCCAACATTAGGAGGCTTCAGTGTTTCTGCTTTGGACATAATATTGTAAATGAAGCATTCTATTGTAAAGATGTCAAAGTATGAGTTGACCTTCACATATGTATGAGTGACCCAAACTTTTCTGTTCCCTGTAATTTTCTTTTAATATAGATGTGAATGAATGTGTTGAGATATCAGACATCTGTGGTCCAAACTCAATCTGCAACAACACTGTTGGGAGTCACAATTGTACATGCATGAGTGGATATAATTTAACAGACCCAAACCTCCCTATAAACAATAATAACCCATGCAAAGGTATGAAGCAAGGAACAGTTTGTTACTATTTTTTCTGCGTGAATCACCCTTCAACTGTAACCTTTCAATTTATTAAATACATTTTTATTTCAGATATTCATGAATGTCTTGACTCAGAATCAGTGTGTGGCCCTAACTCTCACTGTTACAATTACAACGGAAGCTTCTCATGCTTTTGTTGGGGTGGATATAATGTCTCAGATGGAAATAAAGCTATTAGTAAAGGCAACCCATGCACTGGTCAGTTTTTATTTATAAGATATTCTGCATTACAGTTTGCAAATCATTTTGAACTTTTGTTTATTACATAATTTCATCATTAATCATTACTCATTAATCATTACTTTGGTGATTTTTAAAGATTCTCATTACAAATATAACATTTCAGGATCCAGATTATTATTAGTATAATTACTATTATTGTAAATGTTGACATTTCAACTTAATTTATATACTCCTTGTTTAGATGTATTTCATAACTTTAAGTAATTATTTTTTCAAATATTTTTGTTTCATAGATATCGATGAATGTTTGTTCAGTCCATCTGTATGTGGTCCAAATGCCAACTGCACAAATGAAATGGGAAGTTA